AACTACGTGCTTCCGCGCTCAAATTTTTACGGTATACAGCACATAAGTCGTCATACAATTACGATCTTACTTTTAGTTGAAGTCCAAATTACAAGAAATAATAGGCAGCAGTTTCAGAAGTGCAAACGACTATCAATGACAATTGACGTTTTTATAGGTACAGCTTAGTTGCCAAACCAGGCCTTTAGCCCTTTAAAGTAAAAAAGTGCTATTTACTTGACCAAACGCTTTGCCAGGGATGCAGGATACTTTTTTAATGCTAGTATTTTTATGCCTGTGCGCATAGCAATAGAACTCTGAGCATTGGCACTTAAAAGGAACACAAATGGAAAAAAGGTTTCTTTTGAAGAGGTTTACCTGTTGGTTACTGGTCGATTTGATGGCTGCGAATGGTGAAACGGTTTGTCGGTTACGTACTGTGTTAACATATTACCTATTTTAAGCTTATTCTTTTGCTTCCCAGCGATGCAATGATATGCTTTTATTTGGGTGGTCGTACTGTCAGCTGCACGTAACATCATCTTCAAATTGTTGTTAAAGACTAGGTATTTTTGCTGGCGAGAATTTTTTGATACAATTATTGAAGACAACGACGAATATTGTTTGAAGATGTATAAAACTAGTTTTGCAAGTAAAAGAGATTCGGAGAACAGGCTTGACCGAGAAAGAAGCTTTGAGAACTGTGACTATTCCGACCAATAACTCATCACCGTCTTTAATTGTTTGCAATGCATCTGTCTGGGAAGCGTTCCAGCAACTCTCCTTCTCTTTTGCAACATCTCTACAAGAAAAACGGAATCTTCACCAAGTGTCATCTGAACACCATTTGTTTAGGGAACGGTGCCATTTTAGAGCTTCTGGAATCGCTGGTAATTATTTACCTAGGAAGTGTTAATTTTATCCTTCTTATTAGTGGTGCTATTTTTTATACAAATTGGATGTTTTCATCGATTTCTTACCGGTTTTTCTATCAGAGTACTGGTTAAGAGCCTTTGCAGCAATGAGGGTTATATAGATGTGGTTGGCAAGAATTACAGCTCAAAAATGATTCTGATTCCAAAAAACTGTTGTGTACCTTTTTTTCATACAGCATTTAACAACTTTCTCTCCGGTGATTTGTGTGTCTCGAAAGTTCGATTGCAGTTCGCCACGATGCGCCAATTTGGTTGTGTTTTTTTTTTGTTGTTGCTCGGAAGCTGTCGATGGTCTTCAAGTGGGGAGTTCCATCAGTGTTTTAGAGACTGTCGCTGTTTGTTCTTGTTAAAGGTACTTCTGAGATTATTTTTGTTGAGTGCATTTAATTTTCTTCAGTTTTTTTTTTTTTGGTTTATATTTTCATATGTATATATACATTTTGAGAGACATAATTGCTGTGAAAAACTGGAACCAGTGGTAGATGGGAGTGTTTCAAACTTTCCCGAGTCATTTCTAATCGATCTTAGCATTGAGCACCAATTCTGACGATACCCTTAACTAATGAGGCGTTTATTTGATGTAGCAGTTTTCAGGGGTGATATAATCTACAGAAGATACAAAAGTTTATGCATCTTACACATCTTTGTTTTTGCTGCTAAGTTTTTGTACATCGGAAATTAAGGGTGGTTTCTATGGAATTGTTTTATTTGAAAATTCCTGAAGTAATTCACAACTACCCTATAACAACTTTTTTTTTTTTCACTCTTCTTTGACTGGACTTTTATAGTTGGTGTCGCAGTTTTGCAATGATAGTGCATCGTCCTTAAAGGTTCCTGTGCTTATTGTCTTTTTTATCTATTTAGTGTAGGTTTTTTTGCCACTTTTTTTCTTTTTTTCCCCATTCTTTTGTTCAGCATGATGTTCCTTTTTTTCACTGTTGGGCGTCGTTTTTTTTATGTTTTTTAGACTAGGAAGAGTGATGTTCAATGACGTTTTTGCTGGATTTCAATTTATAGTGCATTTTTTTTTTGACGATGAAAGAAAATGAGAATGATCAGATGAACGCAAAACTTTTGTTGTTTGTTTGTTTGTTTGTTTGTTTGTGCGTTTGTGCGTTTGTTCGACCCCTTAGTTGATTGTTGTTACCCAGTTATGAAACCTAACCTTTCATACAAAATCGCTGTTTCTTCTGTTATCCACAAACAACAGAATACCATTGTGATCCGATGTTAACACATGCTTTCAGTACACAATCCATTGTTACGGTGTTATGTTTTGGCGACAGTTTCGAAATCTTTTAAGTTAGTGATTGCTTGTTTTTTTTACAGCAGTTTTTTTTCCACATTCGTTGCTGATCCTTTGTCGAAGGAGCGTTAAACATACTCAAAATCTATGCGTTATTATTTCACCAAGTTTTCCATCGTTTCAGTTAGTTATTGACATGTTTACTTGAGTGGAATAAAAAATGCCTGTAGAGGATGACCTGAACAAGTTCATCGTTTGGGTAATTTTTGGATTATTCTACTTTTTATTTCTTTCACTTTATTTTCTGTTTGCCTTCACATTTACAAGGTTTTAAGAACACTTTTTGTTGTTGATCAACATCAACTCTTTCTTGCACTCATGAGTTATTCATAACCTAGGTACTGTATGTTTTTTTCCTTAAAAGTTTTCATAACTTGTTCTAAAAATGTATTTTGTAGCTAAACGCATTAGAGTTGGGAAAAGAAGCATCTTTAGAAACTTTATCAACTGGTCGAAGTATTGCAGAAGCACTCAATAAAATGCAAGTTTCATAAATTTTAATTGCTTTGAGTGTACACTTTCCAGAGCTTCTTTCTACATCGTTTCATACTGCTTGAGTGTTTTCAATGTATGCTGTTGTTATCATCGGTAATGGTTATAGTGATCCGAACTTTTTTGATGAGGATTTTCTCGGTCGAATTTCCGATTCTGAAGTCAGCTGGCCTCTTAAAAAGAATAATTTGCACAAGATTTATTTGCGCGTACGTGACTTCTATAAGGAGTCACTTTCAGTTACGTTGACGGAAAAATGGACCATGGATTTCCGAAACGAAGGTCTTAGATTCTTGTTCCTTTTTTTAGCGTTGTTTTGTGTCTCCATTCTGTAGCCAGTCGTAATTTGGCACTGCCAACTTAGTGTTTTCGTTTTAGCAGAAGAAACAATTATGAATTCTGTGGATTGTCTATTAAGATTGGTGCTTGCGGCTTCCGTGCTTCACGTTCGCGAACAGAAATGTTTGTCTGATAGTTTTCATGTTAATCTGAAGACTTCTAGGTTGTGGGACGTTCATGTTGTTTAAATTTCTTTAACTCAAAAACAGAAAACATATCTTCAGAACTGTGGAAAACACTTTTTTCAGACTTTATTAATTTGTTGATGAAACAGTCAGAAGCGCTTCAGTTCTTTGCAATGGAAATTATTCGGGAGATGGAAAAGTTGATGCCCCACGCAACAGGAGAGGTTGGAAGGAAAGCAAATGATGTTAGTTGAAAAATTCTTTGGTGTTTTCTTATTGGTCAATTAATTTATCAGTTATTCTTATACCTTTTATAATTCCAATTTACCCTGAACTTGTTCTTAGGTTTCGTCCTCTGGCACCGAGATAAGCGAAATGAGGGCGAAGGTTGAGAAACTTAGTAGAGAGAACCAGTGTCTGCAGGAGGAGGTAGTTTTAAAGTGCTGTTCGTTTTCTTGAATCTAATCTTAATTTGCATTTGGATTGACTTGGATTCTTGAGTTAATCTCAATTTAGCTGCGTTTATTTTCAGTTGAAGGAGATGAAGGAAGAACGAGACAGCCTGGCAGAACAGAATCGGACACTGCGCACCGATGTCGAAGATTTAAGTGGAAGCAGTAGTGAGGTCGAAAGTTTAAGAAAGCAGCTTCGGGCTGCAAACACTCTAAAAACATCTGTTCAGGACTCGCTCTACAAGTTTGGCTTCTTTTCTACTTTTTTCTGTTGTTTTTCTCTGCTTACTTTTTTTAATTTCATTTTTAATTCTGCAGAGCAGAAGCAGAGAGGGACCATTTCAAGAAGAGCTTCGAAGAGATCACGAAGGAACACACATTAGTTTTGGATAAAGTATTTTTTTCTTTTTTTGAGCTGCCGGATCTTTAAGTAAAGAACTTGAAAAATTAACCAGATTTGTTTTATTTCTCGTTAAATGGTTGCCTCACTAATTTTTTTAGTTGAAGTTGTGAGTTTTCGTTCATTCTTTATGAACATTGCGAGGTTTAAACTTGTTTAGCTTCAAAAGTTAGCCCCTTTGGAGGAAGAGTATAGAAAAGCGAAAGATGAGCTTGAAGAGTTCCGTCTCCGGGTTTTGGACTTTGAGAAGCTGAATTCGCAAGTTGAAACGTACAAGTCCAAGATAAGTATGTTAATTCGGATGAACGAGTCATTCGCGTTATCAAAGCTTATAGCCATTGTCTTGAAATTTAATTTAGAGGAGTGCAATGCGCAGAAGGTGGAAATGAAGGTATTAAAAGAGAAGGTTGATACATACATGCAAAGTGTTATTGCCCTTGAAGACGAAAAAAGAAAAAATGGAGTGTTGAAAATACAGGTCGAGTCATTACGGCTCGAAAATAAAGATTCAAACGAAAAACATCGTCGAGAACTGCTTCGTGCCGAAAAGGTATGTTCGCATTTTTATTTCTCTGTGGTTTTGACACGGAAGTTTGTTAAATACGAAGTTTGGATGTGTATTTCAGGCAGAATTTGAGATAAAGAGGTTGACAGATCGTTTGAAGGATGCAGAAGATGTAAAGAACAAACTTCGTGGAGAATGCAAGGAACTAAATGAGAAATTGTTTCTTAACGGAGGTTAGTGACAGCGGTATTTTTCCCAAAAAGGGTGCTTTTTTCCTAGTCTTTCCCGTCTCTAGTGCTCGGCAGATAATTTTGCGACCAATTGTTGCTTTTAGGTATGGGGGCCTCGAAGGCTTCTGCTTCTTCTCTTCATGACGAGACCATGGAGGCCAGTGGGTTTTCTTTACAGTAAGTTTTTTACGGAGCTTAGTTTTCTTCTGTTCTGATGCAGGCGTTTCCTCTTCTTGGTAAAAGAGAACATTGCAGGGAGCGTATGTTAAGGCTCGAGAAAGAAAATGAAAAGTTACAAGCAAAAGAAAGTGAAGAAATTAAATTAATGAAGGAAGAGTTGAGTTCAATGGCTGAAAAAAAGGCTCTAGTTGAATCAGAACTGAATTGGTCCCAGCGACAATTAATGGAATTGGAGGCCAAGTTGGTGTTTGCAAGTCTTCATTTGAACGTTAACCATTAGGATAGTTTTTACTACTTCTTTTAGGCAAGAGAAATCGAGAGGAAGAAAGGCCGGCTTTTTGCATTCCGGTAGTCTTAATTTGGTTCAATCCATTATTTTTAAGGTTGAAGGATGCAGAGGACTGTATTACGAAAGGCAAAGGTCTAAGTGAGGACCGTTACTCCGAGGAACAAGCACAGAAAGAGAAGCTGTCGTTGAATGTAGCACAGTTGCAAGCGAGGCTTGAACAGGCTAACAAACAGTTTGAGTCCGTTGTTGAAGAGAAGGAAGAACTTAAAAGTTAGTTGTTCGTTTGTTGCTTACCGTCTCCTCCACTTTTTTTAGGGCATTTGATCTACTGTAGCTATTTAGGGCAACTCGAAACAGCCGGTCAAAATCTTTTGGCTGAGAAAGAAAAGTTGCGAATTTATATGGAGAAGGCAAGAACGGTAATTGATGATGTTGAGAAACAGAATCGTGCTGTTGAGGCAGGGGGACTTAGCAGGCATGAATTTGACGCTATTCGACATGACCGGGATTCGTATAAACAAATGGTATGTTTTAGAAGCTGTTCAGGGCTTATGCTTGTGAGTACTTCTAAGTTTCCTTAGGTTCTTATTAATTCAAAACCCAATGTCTTTAGTTCGAGGCCCTGAAAGCTAGTTTTGAAAGGCGTCGTACACTGAAAGAGGAAGAACAGCGATTGATTATCTCACACTACTATGATCTGGTTTACTAATTTTTCTACTTTTGTAGTCTTCTTTTTATAAAAATTTGATTGAAAGTACATCGGTTTGGAAGCTTTGTTTTCTGAGCCGTGTGCAGTTTTAATCAACTTCATTGAAGTTCTTGCTTATTCAGATGATGCAAAGGCAACATTTTAACCACGGCGAAGATTCCGCAAGATCTGAGTTAATGTCAACACCAGAGAAAAGTTTTTTGGCGCGACAACGGCAGTGCAACAATTTTTCGAGGTGACAATAACCATCGTGTTTATGGAATTTTATAAGTATCAGCCGTTTCGCATTTTTTACTATGAACTAAAGGCACGAACCTGTATGAAGCTGCGCGCCTGTGTTGCAATAAAGGTTCACTCTCTTATTCTGAAAGTAGCAGCCCCTTGATTGTAGGAATCAGTTACTGTATAGATCGGTAAAATGGTGATCGTTCAGGCAACTGTTGTTTTTAAGCTGATTTCAATCGCCTGGTCGCTTTCTTTTTTATCCCTTTTTCGTTTTTCTTTAATTCCATTTTATTTTTGGAGCAAGTTAGTAACATTCTGGCTATCGTGGTTTTATTGTCGTTAGTTCTGCAGGAAGTTCCTGTACAGTTATTGTTAGAGCCATATTAATTTATGAAAGGGAATATGAAAAACTGTGGTATTCTCCAGTTTTAGTATCGCTTTTTTTTCCTCTCGATGACTAATTTACGATTTTGCCTTTTCGCTTCAAAAGTGCTTAAGTGAAGCAGTTTTGTCTAATGATTGCTGTTTAATTCGCATGGGTTTGCAGTTTAATGTTTACTTTTAGTACCACTCTTTAGTCACCCCTGATATGTCGCATTTGTTTGTAAAGAAATCCAAATATTTGGTTGTTTTTTTTTCAGTATCTTGTGTTTCGGAATCTTTATATTTGCTGTAGCTTCTTTCCTAACATGGCAGATAACAAGGATTTCTCTGTGGACGTGTTGCAGTGAAAACGAACTTCCTCCTCTCTGAACTACGCTTCATTTTACTTCCTGTTGGGGAAATTTTTTTTCAGCACTACTGTGGATTTTTCATTTTTTACTTCAACTTTCACGAGCTTTTTGCATGATCACTTAGTAATTTCGGGTCATTTTTGAATTTTAGATTTAGAGTTTCATTTTAGAGACAGACAGGCTTAAAAGATGTGGTTAGATTGTTAGTAATAATGCATTTTGAAAGGTCGAAAGATCTAAAACATTGACAGGAATGAAGAATTTTAATACTAACACGTTTCCATCCTAATGAGTCCTTCTGTCTTGTAGCACATGTTTATACATTGAGTTGGAATAGTCATCACTGATACGTTTTTTAAGACAATTTCGGTGCATTATTAACTGCGTGATGGTGCTGTGTTGTTACGTTTTAATAATTGTTGTTTAACTGTAATTTGTTTACTTGAAGCGGTCATTTTAAATTCAAGTGGGTAACCTTCCAGTGCATTTTTGTTTCGGCATTGTGGCCATAGGTGCTATGGCAAGTGTTCCGTCGATACTTTGTGATTATTTTTTTGTTATATTACTTAAAAACGGTGGTCGAGTGTAACGAGCGAAGTTGTGGAAGGCTTTGTGGAAATTTTTTCCAAATTTAACTGATGGTCTGAAACTGACTGGATTTGTTGACGTAAAGCCGCGTCTTGAGGGGTTCCGGTTTTTTTTCGTGTTGAATGTCTTCCCAGCTTTTTAAAAGCTTATGCAGGGTTTTGTTTTCCCTAAATTTTTCTCCCATTGATTTGTGCAGTGTTTGTTTTCTCTTTTATAGAATTCATGGAATTGTACTCATCTGATGTTCGGCAAGCATTTTTTCAATTTGGATTTACATTTTCACAAACATACTCTTAGAATTTGCCTTTGTTTGTATATCTGTTTCCTATGGAATGTTAAAAACAATTGAGCAATGGCACTGTGTCTGTGTAGTCTACATCGTTTATGCGCCAGATTATCTTTGTTTTCAAGTCAGCGTTTCTGACGAGAACTGGGTGGTTTTTTCAGAGTTCAACACTGGTGCATCAGTTGTTTTTGTGCATGGGGCGTGGCGTTATTTTCTTTTTT